ACAGTGTATCTGGCACTGGGCCCCCTCAGATCTCCCCAGCAACTCCATCACAGGGACTGGAGGATGGGACGCGCACACCCAGTCCCACCCCTGTCCCCTCCTCCCTGCCCATTTTTGGGCCACAGGCTCCCACGGGCAAGAAGCAACAGGGCCAGAGAAGGCCTAGCTCAGAGAGCCTTGCCAGGCTCTGCCCCCGCCAGGAGTCACCCTTCCAGGATGTGGCTCCCACCCCAGCAGGGAAGCTCCTAGCCCCAGCCCTTCTTGTCCCCTATCCTGTAACTAAATCTCTCAGCCCTCTCCACCCTCACGGGGACCCAGAGACCCTGGGGAAGTGGGGGAACAGACCCTCAGCCAAGGAAGGGGCCTGGTGGTCAGAAGAGAGACAGACTTTTGTCCTTTTGTTTGCTCTCAGGAAGAGATGAACGCCCTGTGTGCACAGAGGTTTGATATGGCAGTCTGGTAGACTACATAGGGTTTCAGCAAAGGCCCTCACACCCACCCTCAGCACTCAGACCCCAGTGGGGTCGGCCCCAGTACATTCAGATCTTGGCTCCCAAGGCCCTGTCCTGCCTCTCCTCCCCCAGCTCGGGTGGCCACAGTTCCCGGAGACTCTTGGCAGCTGGTTTGGGCGGGACACAGCTCTGAGCCGCGTGGGAGGCAGTTAGGGAGAGTGCTGCAGCCTCCCTAATGAGGCCAATTGCTCTCCTTGGAGCCATTAGCCTCAGCCACAGAGACAGAGAACCCAATTAGAAAGGCGTGGGAGACATAATGAGGAGGGCCTGGGGACACCTGCAGGGCGGATCCTCATCTCTGGTGCCTCTGTGGGGCCCACGGATGGAGATGCAGCCACCTAGGCTTAAAGTCTCATCTCCTGCAGGCTGCACGTCCCAAAGTCCGTCTGTGGAGCCAACCCCTGGAAGTGACCCTTCAAAACACACCAGTAGAAAGGAGCAGGAGAGGGCCAGACACGGCAGCTTACACCTGTAATTCCAGCACTTTGGGAGGCCAAGGGGGGGAAGATCACTTGGGGTCAGGAGTTCAAGACCAGCCTGGGCAACATAGCAAGACATCATCTCTGTCTACAAAAAGTTTTTTTAATTGAGCCAGTCGTGGCGGTGCACCTGTAATCCCAGTACTTGGGAGGCTGAGGTGGAAGTATCACCTGAGCTCAAAAGGTCGAGGCTGTGGTGAGCCATGATCATGCCACGACACTCCTGCCTTAACAACAGAGTGAGGCCCCAACTCAAAAACCAATAAAACTTGAAATTAATTTTTTAAAAAAGAAAGGAGGAGGAAAAATGATTGGGGAGAAGGGTTTCTCCCTGGGTCTATAGCTCAGATATGATGATTCAAGAATAAGAAAGGGAATAATAAGATGTTGAAGGTCACGGACATCCTCTTGACGTTTGGTTACATCATTTAAGTGAGCAGGCATAGATACTTGTGTACAGCCAACAGTTCTCTCTTTCTGATGGCTCAACTGAATCACACTGTGTTTATGGCAAGATAATAACCCTGGATTTTCCAGAGCTCACTCTGTCAGAGTATAAGATTAGCTCTCAAATTCTTTAACAGTCATGTTCTTTTAAATGTCAGATAACTTTTTAAATGCCAAGTACTTACGCGACGCCTTCTGTGCAATTCAGATCAGCTTTACCAAATTAACTCATTAATCTCGATTGTTTCATTTACTGAAGAGAAAGGTTTCCAGGGGCTCTTAGCAGGACATGAAAATACTGAAAGATTTACAGTACGATATAGGTGAGGGGGTGGGTTTCGTTTTCTGCCAAACATCCCAGTCTTCCACGTTTTTAATCATTCCCACCGAAGTATGCATATGAACGAAACAAGAAGACTCCAGGCCTCTTCCGATCCCCTACTTCTTTGCATTTAACCTCCTTTTTTTCCCTCTCCTTCCTGCTCCCCTGGAGACCTTGACTTCTGGTTACTTTTTTTTTTGAGTTGGAGTCTCACTCTGTCGCCCAGGCTGGAGTGCAGTGGCACATTCCAGGCCACCGCAGCCTCGACCTGCTGGGCTCAGGTAATCCTTCCGCCTCAGCCTTCCAAGGAGCTGAAACTACAGGCACACGCCACCATGCCTGGCTAATTTTTTGGATTTATTGTAGAGATGAGGTCTCACCAAGTTGCCCAGGCTGGTCTTGAACCTACGGGCTCAGGCAATCCACTTGCCTTGGCCTCCCAAAGTGCTGGGATTACAGGCTGAACCACCGAGCCGGCCAACTCCTGGTCACTATTTATGCACCTGTCTTTGTTTTCAGCATATCCTGAGCAGCAGCTGTCAGTTTTGACTGCTCTCCCACTCAGAGAGCAGAGGGGCACCTCAGGGGCAGGGAAGGAGGCAAGACAGCTGGGGCAGAAAGGCCTAGAAATCAGCAATTCTTTCCTTTTCAAGGATCCTCTGCCTAGGTTTACTTCCAAATAATTGGAACTCAGATAAACCGGTTACCCTGGCTGCTAAAGATAGATCCCTCCAGGGCTGCCCCCAAATCATCACCCAGCTCTCTGTTCAATGGCACCTCCTCAGAGAGGCCCTCCCAGACCACCCAAAGGCAAGGTGCCAGTCCCCTCCTCAGCCACCCTCCCTCCTGCTACCCTTGCACTGTCTTCATAGACTTGTCACTATCTATAAGCACCCTGCTCATAAGCTTAACAGACTTATCACTATCTAAAATCACCCTGCTCATGGATGAGCCCGTTTGTCTCACACATAGCAGACATCCAATAAATATCAGTTGAATGAATACATGAGAAACCACCCAAGTACACAACTTTCTTTCCTGGCCTCAACTCCTGAATTTTTCTCCTCTGATTACCACCTCCCAGAATCCTCGTCATATGTTCGATCTTTTTTATTGGCCTCTCTTCCATCTCCCAAATCCACTTTCACTATCATTTATTCATTAGAACACTTGAACATGATGAGCAAAAACAGTAGTTCTTATCTCAGGGGCCACAGAGTCTGAGTCTCAGCCTCAGCCTCAGCCTCAGCCTCAGCCTCAGCCTCAGCCATTGGGTAAGAATGGGTGGCCCCAAGCTTTCAGGCAATTAGCTATGCCATCCAGAGAATTTTATTAAAAGATGTAGAGGTCAAGTGGCTTGGAGGGCTTTTCTCAAAGCCTCTCAACACTCCCCTCTTCAGTCTGAGCCCCACATAAGGAGCTAAGGTCTAGGCTGGGCATGGTGGTTCACACCTGTAATTCCAGAACTTTGGGAGGCCAAGACGGGAGCATTTCTTGTGTACAGGAGTTTGAGACCAGCCTGCACCACACAGCAAGACCTCGTCTCTACAAAAAAAACAAAAAAATTAGCTGGGCATGGTGACATATGCCTATGATCCCAGCTACTCGGGCAGCTGAGGTGGAAGGATCGCCTGGGCCAGGAAGTCAAGGCTGTAGTGAGCCATGACGATGCCACCACTCCAGCTGGGGTGACAGAGTGAGACTCTAACTCAAAAAAAAAAGGGAGTTAAAGTCGTTCAGCGATTGGAACTGGCCTCTGCTCTTTGTCCTCCAGCCTAACACAAAATCTTCTTTTAGGAATATTGGAGAAATTCCCTCAAATCAGTCTTGTCTGATTTCTATTATTCTACCCAGTGATTTGTGGACAATTGTGAAGACTGGAAAGCTTGACATGCTTTGTCTGATTCTAGCTTAGACCAAAAACTCTCATATGCTCTAGAAGTCCAATTTGTAGTCATCTCAGCCTGAGCAACTGATCAGGTATACAGCTGAGATGACAACAAATTGGATATGTATGTGTCCAGAAAAATCTTTCTCTCCAGCCACATTTCACAACAAAGGGCAAGGGTGTGGTGTTCCTTGGATGACGGCGGCTTAAAAGTCATCATCACTGCTTAAGAGTCATAGAAATGGCATGAAAAAGAGAACTCAAGGCTACCCCGGGGGTGTACGATGGCCATCTGAGCGCTCCTAGAAATATGGAAATGGTCACATCCACACCCAGGGTGATCTCGCACTGCATTGATATATGTGACCCCAGCAAAGTCAGTCCCAGAAATAACAAATAACTTTTCTCTTAGGGGATGAGGAACTAGTGCTGCACATCAGACAAGCATCTGGAGGTTACACACTTTTCCTGTAAAGGTGTCATCTTTGTCCCCTGTCCATGTGAACTGAAGTGGGCCATGACATGTAGCTGACCACTGGTGTCCTCCACACGTGTGTTGGTGACCCTGTTGCTCAGCAAATATTGTCAAGTGTGTGTGCCTTTCCAGACCCCAAGCCAGATGCCACTGTGACAGCGGGAGCTGAACGAGGCTGTGGTGAGCTGTGACAGTGCCACTGTACTCCAGCCTGAGAGACAGAGTAAGACTCTAACTCGAAAGAAAGAAAGAAAGAAAGAAAGAAAGAAAGAAAGAAAGAAAGAAAGAAAGAAAGAAAGAAAGAAAGAAAGAGAAAGAGGGAGGGAGGGAGGGAGGAAGGGAGGAAGGAAGGAAGGAAGGTAGGAAGGAAGGAGAAAGAAAAGAAAAGGAGTCCTGGGCAGATACACATTTAGCAGCCAAATGACTTTGAGCAAGTTGCTTAACTTCCCAGGACCTCCCAGTTTCCTCATCTGTGAAATGGGAGTAGCCATCATTCAGCCATTCATTCAGTCATTCAACAAATATTGATTGGGTGCCTTCCTAAGGCAGGCAGAGTCCACACAGTACTGCATCTCATCTGTGAAATGGGGGTAAACAGTACCTGCCTCACAGGACTATAGTGAGGGTTAGATAAACGAATTCCAACCCCAGGACCAAGGAAGGTCGCTTTTCTACTTCCCCAGGTACTAATTAATAACTAGTCTCAGTTATCCTCTCTCTACAGGGTCCCCTGTATCCTCTATGGTAAAAATTGGTGTTACCATTATTGTTCTAGTGATAACAAGTAGCTGTCTCTAAATATTTGGGGATTTGGGCTCACCCTTGGTGCAATGACTATCATTCCTCTGAAAGTTGGGCTTTCTGCCTCTAGTCACAGGGAGCCCAGCTGTCCTTGGAGGCAACAGCTCAGAAGGCAGGAGAGCCTCAAAGTTGTCTAAATAAAGGGCTGGTATGTTCAAACAGATCAGACTTGTGCATGCGTGAGCGCGCATCGACATGACGCCGTTCCTGAAGGTGATCTCACACTGAGAAGACGAGGGGCTTTGCAGACACACACGCAGGAATTCCAGTTAATACACTTCTGCATGCTACAAAACAGCTTCAGAAGTCTCTCAGAGCCCCTGCACTATCAGAAAGGACAGAGAATAGGCAGCTTGTAGCAGATGAAGAAAGAACAAATTAGGACATAATCACAGCCAGCCATCAGGGACAAAGCTGCTGGGTGTCTGGCTTGGGTGGCAAGGGACAGAGAACAGAGAGGAGAAAGAATGACTCTAAGCTGCCTCGTAAGACAGGCAAATAGGATTTATTTTGACAGTAGCTAAAATAATTGTCACTCTTTGCCACCACTACTTGGTAGAGTTGGTATTCCCACATAGAGAAGACTGATTCTTCATTTCGCTATTTAGAAGTCAACTGCAGATTATCTTCTGGGCATCCGGCCTGGCTTTCTCTTCTCCAAGAGTTCCTTGATCTCCCAAGCTCAGCTTCATTTCTCTCTGTGAGTACTAAGAGTCCCTGCCGTGAGAATGTCATTTGTTCATCTTTGCAGGACCCCTCCCACCCCAGCGTCAGACACACGCCCTGCACGTGGGACATGCTAATTAAAAGCCCCATGAATCTCCCCATCCTTTTCACCCACAGCCCTAGTTTAGGGCCCTTTCCCATTCATCCTCTGCCCTCCCCAAAGCTCACGGCGCTGGAGATAAATAGTAAATAGCCATAGAGTCAAAGACCCAGACCAGGAACAGAGCTAGGCCTGTCATGGAAGGATGTTAGACCCTTCAAACCACCCTAGAGGACAACATCCCAGTCCTTGGTAAGAAGTGACTCAGACAGACAGAGCTCGTGTTGGTGGTGCTATCTAATGCTGCAGCTGGCAGGGTCTTTGGAGGCTGTGAAGGTCACCCTCCCAGCCTTAGCTAAGCCAGGGGTCTTGGGTTACTACTTCTCCAGGCTACCCCAATCCCAGTTCTGCAAGGCAGGGCTTTAAGAGTCATGTATTTGAGCCTGACATGGTAGGTCACGCCTGTAATCCCAGCACTTTGGGAGGCAGAGGCAAGAGGATTGCCTGAGCCTAGGGGTTCAAGACCAGCCTAGGCAACTTGGTGAGACCTCATCTCTACAATAAATCAAAAAATTAGCCAGGTGTGGCAGCACATGCCTGTAGTTCCAGCTACTAGGAAGGCTGAGGTAGAAGGATCATCTGAGCCCAGCAGGTTGAGGCTATGGTAGCCATGAGCATGCCACTGCACGTCAGCCTAGGTGACATATTGAGACTCTGACTTAAAAAAAAAAGAGTCACGCATTTGCCTGAGGTTTGTCTCTCTCTAGGTCTTGGCTGTGCGTTCCTGGGCTTCCTCTTAGACAGCCTGCTCCCAGTGGTGACAAGGTGGCCACCAGCTTCTCATTCCAGAATGAGAAGTGGGTCATTCCAGAATTGAGTCACATGCCTGTGGTGAAATAAAATGCCATTGGCCCAGCACAGAGCCACAAGGACTAAAGATGGGGAGAGGAAGGCTGTCTGACAAAGGAAAAGGAGACACGCAAAACTACAAAAAGTAGCCAGGCACGGTATAATCCCAGCATTTTGGGAGGCCAAGGTGGCAGGATTGCTTGAGCCCAGGAGTTCACAATCAGTCTGGCAACACAGCAAGAACTTGTCTCTACAAAAAAAATCTTTTAATTTGTTATTAGCCAGGCTTGGCGGTGCGCACCTATAGTCCCAGCTACTCAGGAGGCTGAGGAGAGAGGATTATCTGAGCCCAGGAGACTGAGGCTACAATGAGCCATGATCCCACCACTGTACTCCAGCCTGGGTGACAGAGTGAAACCCTGACTAAAAAAATAAATAAATAAAATAAAATCTACAAGAAGGAAGAGTAATTCCGGACAGTGAAAGAAAAGATGTATCTGAAAGCACTGCCATTCTTCATTACTGATATCCATAAGACTACCCTTTTTATTCTTAGCAACAGTTCAACAGTTCAGTTCTTCTGTTACGGCTCAAAAAAATATGGTCAGTACTTTCTGGGAGGAGATATTGTCACAACCACTGTTCAGTGTCTGAGCACCTACTACCTGCTGTGTGTTCTGCACTTCCTGGGCATTTGACATCTGTCAGCGAACTAAACAGACAAACATCTCTGCCTGCTCTAAGATATTGCAGGCAAGAGACAAAGCATGACAAATCAGCAAAGTGCGTAGTGTGTTAAAAGGTGATCGTTACTTGGGAAATGAGATAAGAATATATTTATGATGCTTTGGGGAACTGCAGAATTCAGAGTGAGGAACTTCAAATAATTGGATATTTCATGGCCCCAGTGCTTTTTTTTTTTTTTGGTCAGAGTCTCACCCTGTCACCCGAGCTGGTATGCAGTGGCAGGATCACAGCTCACCTCAGCCTCAACCTCCTTGGCTCAGACAACCCTCCTGCCTCATTCTCCTGAGTAGCTGGGACTACAGGTGTGCACCACCACGACCAGCAATTTTTTTTTATTTTTTATAGAGACAGTGTCTCACTATGTTGCCCAGGCTGGTCTTGAACTCTTGGGTTCAAGCAATCCTCTCACCTCAGCCTCCCAAAGTGCTGGGATTACTGGTTTGAGCCACCGCACCTGGTCTGCAGTGCTTTTTGTTACACTTTTTTGTTCAGCAGGTTTGGGCACAGCTCTATAGGAGGAAAAGCCATGTTGTCCCTAAGGCCTACTGCCCCCGTGCAAGACTCACAGAAGTGCAGCTCAGCCTATCTCCCCAGGGTTCCTGGAGCCCATGCTGAGCTTTCTGACTCCCAGATCGATCTTTGTCCAAAAAACCACACCATCACTTAGGGACGTTCAGGCCAACAGTTTCCCTAGAGAGACCTTCTCCTAATTGCCATGGTAGCTTCTGGATTCTTGGGTGTTTCCTTGTAGTAAGACACAGTCTCAGGGTAGAGCAGGGTGGTGAATTCAGACAGAGAAGAATATGGTGGCTGCCCTCCACATCTGGAGTAGTGCAGAAACCAGCTCGTTCTACACATCCATCCATGTATTTCCTGCCCACCCACAGGACAGTTCATTCATTTTTGCCTGGTGGATGTAGGTGGCATTGCACATCGCAGGGGAGGAGAGCAGGAAGATAAGAAAGATGAAGGCAAAAAAGGTAATGGAAAAAGATGCAAATAATCACAGTTGCCAACATTACTGAGCATGAATTCTGTGCCGGATTTTGTTCTAAGATTTACGGGGGGGGCCCAAGAACCCCGGAATTATCTTTGAAGGGCGGGCCCCTTGTAGTACAGGCTTCCGCCACTAGGCAAGCATTCTAGGAACCCATCAGCATCAGTGTACCAGCTAGTGTTTCTATGAGAGGCTGTGTTCGGCTTCAGTGAATTTTTTTGGAGATTCAACACGTTTGCCTATTTCATCATGGGTGATTTACAAGCACACCTGCCCTCAATGGGCTGAGTATTCAGCAGTTTTTGACCAAAAATGTCATGACCTCCAAGCCCCACTCTCCCTATTCACTCAATTTTGCCCTGAGTGATGTTTTTGTTTGTTTCCCTAGATGAAAAAGTCCCAAAGGGAAACGTTTTACCAATGTGGAAGAGGTGAAACAAAAAATGATTGAAGCACCAAAGGCAACAAAATTGATGAGATCAAAAACTGTGGAAAAAGAATCTCAATTGGTGTCTTGCATCAAATGGAGAGTATTTTGAAGGTGACTGAAGTCTAAACAAATAAGACTGAATACACAATTTTTATAAATAACTTCTGGTTTTGGGGGGAGTATCCCCTCATATGCATGCATTTATTTAATTCACAAAAATGAATCTAAGTAGGTAGAATTATGCCATTTTATAGACAAGAAAATTGAGGCATTGAGAGGTTAAACAACTTCCCTTTTTTTTTTTTTTTTGAGTTGGAGACTTACTCCATCACCCAGGCTAGAGTGCAGTGGCACACTCACAGCCAACCCAGTGTCAACCTGCTGGGTTCCATTAAGGTCTCAGCCTTCCAAGCTCTCAGCCTTCCAGGTAACCAGAACTAAAGGCATGTGCTACCACGCCCAGCTAATTTTTTTGATTTATTGTAGAAATGAAGTCTCACCAAGTTGCCCAAGCTATTCTCAAACCCGTGGCAACTTACCTTTTTAAATGACCAGGGTCATGCATTTAGTAAGTTGGTAAGAAATAAAGTTCAAGACTAGGCAGCCCAGCTCTAGTACCTGTGCACTGTAAATGCTTTAGAGCTTCGCTGTAGACCCTGGCTGAGCCCTGACAGTCAGAAGCATTTTCTGTCATGCTGGCTAAATGACTAGCACTCCTCCTAAAAAGCTCCATCTCTGGGACCCATTCAATCGCTGCAGGAAGACTTTTCAATTCTCAAGACTCTGCCTGTCCCAAGTTCTGTGCAGACAACTGTCTCCCCACAGATCATTCCTCACCCTTCCGCCATCGTGCCTCTCTGAGGATCAACACTGTGACAGGCACAGAGGATACGGAGGTGAACCATCTCCACCTTGACCTTCTAAGGCACCTAGAATCCAAGCAGAAGATGGGCAGTGAAACAGATCACATCAGCACAGTGCAGTGAGGAGGCAGACACAGGCTATGATGGGACGCACTCATTTGTTTCCTGTTTCTTGAGTATGGAATTTCCTCACATTTCAAGAACCTCTTTACAACAGTGAAGTTAATGCTATTAGCCTCTTAAATGGGATAATCTGCCTATATCAGGCTTATATTTGGGGCAACATGATTGATCTAGAGTACAACTGAGTCCATTTAAAAATTGAATCATGCCAGTTGCAGTGGTGCATGCCTATGGTCCCAGCTACTTAGGAGGCTTCAGCCTAGGAGTTCAAGACCAGCCTGTTTTCTCTAGGAAAAAAGGAAAATTGAAGCATGTTTTTTAAAAAAATCAATTCTGGGCCAGGCACAATGGCTCATCCCTGAAATCTCAGCACTTTGGGAGGCCAAGACAGGAGGACTGCTCAAGCCCAAGAATGCCTAGGCAACATAGTGAGACTCT